CAATGTAAACACCATAGTGTACCATTTGGCCATGGTTATGAATATGTATATTGGGGTGGATATATGCACACCAGATCGCTCTGATATGTAGCGTTGAAAATTCAACCTCATTGTATCATAAATATTATTCTTAAGCAAATTATTTTCACGTTTATAGCTTTCTTAAGTATTTAATTTTAAATTGTACGAGGTGTTAGCCCGTCCTACGTACGGGAGTAGTCAGTTAAAACGGTGTAGGCCTATAATTCAGAACAGCTAGTTTACACGTATAAAAACAAATTTTATTGCAGCCTACAGTAGAAAGAGTAATTATCAATTGAGAAGTGTATAGGCCTAGTCAATGATATCACCTTCCATCGCATACCTACCTCTTCCATAATCAATATCACCACAATACAATTACTCATACTATACACGATTTCCAGTTGGTCTGAATTGAAACTCCCTAAAATAAAACGAAAACATCCAATAAAATTCACTGTACACATAATTATAACGTTGGTGTCCTGACATCATTAAGCGAATCGTCCACACACATCCTTTATGTCAATTTCACTGCATCAATTGCTAAATAAATAAGTGTAAACAAAGAAAAGTAAACGCAACAACATATTAGTTTGTTTTATAAACAGCTGAGTCAAAAATAATATTCATTTGAACAAAAGAACTGGTCTTATGTTGAAGGAATTTAAAAAGTAAAAACGATTGTAAAGCTTTTATAGTGACGTAATTAATTGTCTATGTTTATTATCCATTCCATAATCAGTTCCAATATCCTTGATAATTAAACCACCCTCATTGAATCAATGTACATCGTAATTCCCCATATTCATTTATTTAAACTATAAAATATTCAGCGCCTCCAAACGTAACCACAACTAAACACACGCCAAACAACTTTTTTAGATTTCATAAAAGGATGGTTAGTCTAATTGCAGTATCCTAGGTCAATGACGACGTTGTGTTCAATCTATGTCAGTCATCCGTATATCTTTGGATAACACCCGTCTGAGGTTGTTGTGGTAATTTAAAATCGTATTCCTGAGGATTCTTGATCTCCATCTTTATGGCATCAATATTTCTGGGCCTAATCCAAACAAAGTTCAAGCATTCAAAAAAATTGATTGTAAACAAAAAGCTGCCAAAATGAATTAAAACATGTAAAAATTGTGATTTTCTTACCCTTTCCATAAAAGTTGAGCAGTCAAATAATTTGTATATATTTTTTTTTAACTCGTGTACAGAGCCTCGACTTGTACACATCGATGGTGTTACTTATCTCGGTGGTCTACTAATCTTACTTATTTTCTATAATCAATGACAAAATCAGAGTAAATAACCTCATAGTTCTATAGGGCATTTTTATAACTAACCAGCTGTTAGTTAGAACAAATTATATTGCTCTAAAACAAATCGAAGATTACAAAGATTGCTTTAAAAAATAATTTGAACATCCTAGTATTTTACTATGTATATTAAATTAATCTGTCATCCTCTTATAGAAGAATTGAACGTATCAATGATTAGCATTACACATAGTATAAATAAGTCAACCCTAAGTATGTCTTTACATTTTTATCCAAATGCTGAATTTGTGACACAAAAGCTGAATGTTTACAGCTGTTATGTTAAGCAAATTATTTAATACCAAAAGCTAGTTTAGAATCTTAGCGTCAGCTGCTAGACTTTTTAAAAATTAAAACTTAATTTCAAAAAAACTGGGACCCTAAACTAAAATTATGGCTTTGACATTCCCTAGTTCTCAAAATTATCTTTCTTTCAACACAAAAATCATGAAAATCCGTCGTGTGGTTGATTCAGAATCGTGAAATAAAAAAACACTGTTTCGTTTTAATATGATAGATTGTTTATACTTTTTAACAACCAAATCCAATGTGTTTGCGCAAGCTTAGTAGCTTATATTAAAAACATTATAATGGTGTCGTTTTTTAATAGTAGCCCAGGTAAAAATATTTAATAACTTCTATCTATATATAAGTAAAGTAAAACAATAGATTTGCACTGTACAATCTCCAATTTCAATGTCACTGGCATTATTCAGTAGATAAATCGATAAAAACATGAACAATGGTATCTTTTAAATTTAAAAGTGTTTTTCTATTACGTACCTAGTTTGAAAGATATAGCAATACAGTTAGGTTTGTGTAAATATAGAATTTATAAGTTTATTTGCTAAATTGGACAACAAACATTAAATCGTAAAAGTAATTAATTACTTTAGGCCAACTGTAATTCCCGACCGGAGATGACAACATCATTACAGGTATCTAACGTTGATAGCAGTGATATATTGTTGTAATTTACAGCAACGTTCAGAACTTAGTAAATGGTTGGTTGTTCAGATATCGTAAGTGATTCGGTTTAAAGACAGTTTTTTTCCTGATAACTAAAGAATTTGTTGGTATTTATATTGTAATACAATCCAAATACTTTGCATTTACAGGGTAATACAAAAATACCCTCGCCGTAAAAAACCTGCAGACTAAGTGAATTTACATTTTCCAATTTGGATCTTTACTCAAGCACCTTCTTAAAATGTCTTATTTATTTCCTAATTAAATAACACTAGTTTAATGATTACTTATGTTTGCGCTGCTATAGGGAAGGAAATAAATGTTTTTGTGAAAATTTGAAATTTAGTATAAAATACATACATTATCCAAATTTTACCAAAATGAAAACGTATACAATAATTAAAATTCTACAGCATACGTATTCTCAATAAAAACAACATGAGAATTTGAATTATAGGTTTTGGGAATTTCAGGCATTTTTCTTAACTATTTAGTGCATAGCAACGCTTCAATGTACTAAATATTTGTATTTTAAGCTATACAAAATATTATGTTTGTGAGTAAGTTACATAAGTCCTGGGGGAATTTAACGGTTTCCTCAAAATACATAATCTTTACGGGGTTTTTTTTAAATACGCTCAGACAAGTTACATTTTCAATACAAAATTTTTTCGTAAATTTGGTTCCGGTAATTTATTAATTTTTTTAACAGCAAATAAAATTTGAATGCACTCTGCTAATAACAGCCTCTTTTGTTCGGAGCAAAACATATAAATTTATGCTGAGCTTAAGTCAAATAGTTTTCAACCTTATTATTAATTTAGTTAACACAGTTATTGGCCATTATTTGGTACATTGGTCATTGATTCTTTTCAAACTATATTAATTGGTGTCGATAATAACATGTTGTTTGGTTTAGAACATGTCAACCTTATATTCATATTAACAATGAATTAATATTTTTGACCATTAGCTTTAATTTAAACTAAAACACAATAAAATAATAAAAATAAACTAAATAAACTTAATACCGAGATTTTAATCAAGCATTATTAAGATAGAAAAACTGGTCTTTAAATGTACATTAATATTTTCTTTCGATTTTTAATAACCTTCTATTAAATGGTAAGATGTACAATTACGCAAAAACGTATCGTCTTTCAACCGCTAATCCACCTTAATTCTATTACTTCGTGAACCATACTAACAAAATGTTAATTATTGTATGATATTTTTATGTTTTACCTACACCGGCGTCAAAGCTACACATGCAATGTGTTTAATGTCTTCAATACATAACCTAGCTATGTAGGAACCCACAATGAGAAACTTTATGTCAGCTGTTAACAATGCTTTATTAGGCAGGGAACAATGCTCAAGGAAAACTCGAACTCATAATTGCTTTAGTTTACATTGTTTGTTATGAATGGTTACGTTGTAGGCTAACTAAAGGCTGTTCGTACGTGAGCTAATACAAGGACACATTCATGTAGATACTTAGAAAAATTACTTTTGATAAATTGGTATTCGAAACTATGGTAAATAACATAAGTCATGTTTTGCACATTTTTTTGTTTGCAAATCTATATCTATAACACAAGTTTTAGAAGCAGTTTCTTGTGAACTCATTTAAAATATGATGACTCTAACAGTGTCTCATGCCATTCACTAGCCCGGAGAAATTAAAGTATACTGTGACGAAGTACCTATACTTAAACCAACACAGTGCATTAATTAGGAAATATATATATATATTAATAAACCAATCAAACATTACTTTTAGTACAGATTTTTAGGGTAAAAGATTTCATGAACAAAATTATTTATGTAAATGTAAAAATAAAATTGTATATAATTTCGTAGAGTTAGCCTAAGAATGAAGATTATACGGATTTCCCTCCTAACTTGTTAAAATTACTCAACGCACTAAAACGTTTAAAACTGAGTGTTTGTAAAAATATGTTTTCGAAAGTCTGATTTTAATTTAAAATAGAATAACAACATAATATTTCTTTTTGCGAATAAAGATCAAATAACTCCCATTCAGCAGAGAAAACGAAGTTTAAAAAATAAAGTATCGCCTTAAGGCAAAGGGCAAAATGAGAACACACATTTTAACAGATAATAGATCCACATTTTAGTTTAAAGATAATAGTATTTTGCTATGTTAACGTCCATTATCCTTTTATCATTCAGGACTAAGAGTAAAATATGCTGAGAAAATCTAAGTTGAACACCTGTTACAGAGTAACAACGAATAGTAATTCACCTCTTAAAACCATTTCTAACTTGTTAATAGGTAGATGTAATTTAAAAACACAAATTGTGCCAAGAACACATATATTTCAACATCTACTTTGATTAAACAGATTTTTTGATGAAAATATGACTTTTTCAATGGATATTTAATTTCTTTAAGGTACTATCCTCAGACTAGTACAAGCAATATGCCATCTCCGTCGAATATGTCCAACATTGCTTTAATGCCAATCTGCCTTAAGTTTTTGAAACATATTATTAGTGTAAGTTGGCATTCATCTTAAAGAAATGTTTTTCCCTAAGTGTTTTAAGCTAATAAAAGCTCTACTTAGCGCCTTTAAAATATAACTATAAGTAGGCAAATCTAAAGTGTGTAATGTACATATGTAACATGTATTAACGAATGTATATTTTGTGTTTTTACAGATAGACCAAGAAGGAGGAGACGCGTATGGCGAAGGAGAAGAAGAGAGTACGGGTAGAATAGACTCATACCCTCCTGTACTACCCCTACCAGATAGCTCAGGTATGTTTCAAAAATATAATATACTTTATATATATTGTTATCGTTACCTTATTTAAACTTTTCAGAGCAATTAATTCTGTTTGGGAAGCAGAAAAGCAGCGAGCACAGATTGAAAATTTACACCAAAAATTTACAAGAATGACCATTCCAATCAATGCATAATGATGTCGGTAAAATGGCAGAGATGTAAAGAAATTGTAAATTTCCATGGTATATAAATGTGAAACAGTTACCTTAACACAATTTAATTGGGAACGTGATAGAACCAAAACTAAATTCAAACAGAGTACAAACAAACTCGCAATAATTTAATAATATGACTTGGACCACAATATGTTATGAACAAAAAAGGCAGACAAGTTAAATATGTAAGTTAGACGTTACAACACATTAATCTAATAAAACACATATAATAATTCCAATTACCTACCATAAGAAATAAATAGTTCAAATTGTAAATATGCCACTAAAATTTATATAGAGAACTTCTAATTAGTTTATTTCATTGTGTTATCAGACTACAGTCCTGGAAGGAGTTTTAAAGGGGAGAAAGGAGAACGAGGACCACGGGTAAGTAAACAGCTATACTACTAGTACGTCTTCCCAAAACATTTTATTTCTGTCTGGATGATAGCATTGCCTGTTATTCTTTTATAAACATATAGTATTTGCGATACAAAATAAATAATTTGTAAGAATTAAACAACCTATGGCCACATCACCTGATTTGTTGTTTATTGTGAATTTATATAGTAGCTCAGAGTAAAATCAATAGAGTATAAATATTAGATTTTTTGTTTTGACGGATTAAGCCTTCTAGAATATGGAATTTGGCTAAAGCATAATGCTAAAAAATTTTAGTAACTATTCTGCTTTATATAATTTTGTCAAAAGGTATTCGAAAATTGTTTCTTTGGTTAAAATTACAAGGTGTCCACTTTTTGTTTTATTTACGCCCATTGCACAGCTGACCATGTTATATTTTATATTTTAGGGACCCCCAGGAGAATCGATACGAGGGCCCCCCGGCCCTCCAGGCCCACCAGGCCCCCCATTTTCTGGGGGAGGTCGACTTTCCTACGGAACAGACTTCAGTGGCTCGGGAGATGACGGGGTAAATGATGATGGGGGGGATGGGGGTAATACTTTATAGGCATTGCTTACTTAACCTACAAAATTGATTAACTTTTATACATAAAAATCTAATTATTCAATGACTCATGACTTATCCATCAGATATAGCTAATTTAATGTAAAGCGTTCAATTAATTTAATTCAATTTCAATTAATTCAATTTAATGCAATTTAAGAATCAATTATCCAACTTCCTAACCTGCTACAAAGTGCGTTGTGTACATGCCAACAATGCAAACCTGACTAGCTCAACCTTATTTTACCACAAAATATTTTCAGTTAATTTTTATTAGATTTTTTGAGCTTGGTGTCGTTTTAGGGCACTTTAAATAAAAGTTTTCATATAATCTTTCCAAAAAATCAGCAATAGTTTTATTTAAATTTAAAAAGTATAAAATGTAGCTTAACAGACATACCAAGTGTCTTAACAATCGATAAGATCAATCCAAAGATAAAAATATGTATTTAAAAATACAAAAGGTGGATATATGGTTAACAAAGCAATTTCGGATAAAGGTGTGTTCTTGATTTATTCTTTACCCAAGGAATAACTACGTAAATTATGTATCTACCTTTTTTGAACACCTTGTATCACAATCAAAGTGTTTGCATCATGCATTAAGTGCCCTTTAGAAAATCTTCAGCATACAAATGACTATTATTAAAGGATTTAAAAATATTTCCTAGGACTTTTAAGAATACAAGAAGTGGTCCCAGGATGACTTCATTTAGGAGATTTTTAATGTGGATGTATGTCTACTTTCAATGGCCTAATGCAATCATGACATTTGATTAGTAGAATTACCATCTTCCAATGATAATTGCTCAAATTTTCACAGGTATAGTTCACAGGTGATAAATTTAATGTTTCATTCGTTAGTTTACTATAGCAGAAAGCAGGTTAAACAGCTACGGTAGTTTAACATTACTTCTTCAACCATCGGTTTTGAAATAACCGGTATTCTTATACAATTTAAATTAGTTTTCTAAATTATATTTTTATGTTCATGCTAGCAATCGTATGGATCACAGGTATGTACCTAATAGTTTTAATATATTTCTGTAGTTCTCAAATACCTCAAATTGTATAAATGCTTTGTTTGTAGTTTGTATATTCTTTAAAATGTTGTAGTTTAGAAGTTAAACATTCAGTTGCGATATAAATAATCCTCTCAAAGAGATATATAATCATTATAAATTAATACCAAATCAATTTGTTTTAACTACTACGAAAATTAATTTTATACAGTTGATGTGAAAAGAGCAATGTAAAATATATATTTGCAATATTTTAGCAAATATTTCAGTACTTTAACTCTAGTACGCCTACGAAAACGACTGTGCACGTTATACCATTTAGTTCAAATTTTGCACATCCTTTGGGTAAAACTACAGTAGCTAGTGAGTGAAATATATGACATTTCCTACTCTTGTGCTGATTATTAAGTCAGGCCAAACTGTTTTAATAGCTTTGTTATAAATTACAGAAAAACATACTTTCTATCTAAAAAAAAACTGGCATTTATCAATTAACCATGTGATCATGAAAAACAATCGGTATAATATTTGTGTGTTCTCCTACAGATATTCGGTATCGGAGATGATCTGACGGGTCCCCCTGGACCTCCTGGGATATGTTCCTGTAACCTGACAGAGATGTTGAACACCTTCAGTCATCCAGACATCATCCCAGGACCTCCGGGCATCCCAGGGATAGATGGCAAGCAGGGTCCACCTGGGGTTCCGGTGAGATTCAATTTGTTGTATTTTATATTTTTCATACGAGTAATTAATTGTGAGCAGTAAGTGTAATGTAGAATATGTATTCCTCCATCGCTTCCGTCCAAATAATTTCTAAGAATCTGGTTAACAGTTTAACGGTTGTTTAGACTTCGCGGATAGAAAAAAAACAATACTAAGGCAAAATAAACCTAGAGGCCAACTTTAGGACATGTTAGTAATCGAGATAATTGATCATGGTTTTTTATTAGGCCTACGTTACAATAATGAAGTTAACAATTATTAATCAAATATTTCATATTCCTAACTAGCGTTGGTAATTTGGAACTTAAGGCACTAGTGACATAGAACATTTACCGAGCTTCTTTTTTTCCTTTTAATGCCTTCTATATGTATCAACTAGCGAATCGTAATATTTAACATTTACTGTTAGCAGGAAAACGCTGAATTTCCGCGTTGGTTATATCATACGTATATTTATTTTAGGGCATCTCTGGAAGAACAGGAGAGAGGGGAGCTCCAGGTCCTGTTGGAGAGAAGGGAGACAGAGGAGACGTGGGGCCGAGAGGTCCTGAGGGACTACAGGGGCCTAAGGGTAAATATTGCTTACGTAAAAACTCTATCTACAAATAAAATAAGGTTTACGTTTGCACATGATAACAAATTACTATATGTAGTAGTAAGGATTTATTAAATAGTAAGAATAATTTGTTAGACACATAAAGAAAAATCAAACGTACTAAGAATACGTAAGAATGAAAGAAAATCTTTGAAAATAATAAATAAATATTTCAATTGGAAACAAGAACATTTCTATGATCATATTTACTCTTAGAGCAGAGGCTGGCGTTTACCCCCCCTCCCCCCCCGGTGGGAATTTTCAACATATACATTTGTTGGTTTGTATTGACATGTACTTTAAGGTTTTAGGTGTTTGCCACTTGTGAATTACAGCATGTTCTGGAAAACACGAAAATATCATGAATATATATATTTAAAAAAATGGTTTTTCTTTAGAGAGTTCGTTTGGCTCTACAACCCGACCGATTTTCATGATTGAGGTCTCAAATTGAAGGTATTAACGCACAGATTTCACATCAAGCATCGGTATATAGTTGCCTACAGTCCCACTCGGCTTATACGTAAACAACATTTTTTCCCATGTATTTCTTATGGGAGTTGAATTTGGTTTTTCTCTTCCGAGTTCGTTTGGCGCTTCTACCCACCCGATTTTCATTATTGAGGTCTCAAATTGAAGGTATGCACGCACAGATTTCACATCAAGCATCAGTATATATTTATCGACAGTCCCACTCGGCTTATACGTAAATTACATTTACCCCCCATATATTTCTAAAGGGAGTTAGATTTGTTTTTTTTTTCTTTTCCGAGTTTCTTTGGCTCTTCTACATGTCCGATCTTCATGATTGAGGTCTTAAATTGGTAGTATGCACACATATATTTCACATCAAGCATCATCGTATATTTATCTACTTTATTACTCGACCAAAAAACATAGGTTTGATATATTTTTTAATTCGTATTTCAATTTAAATTGTACAGTATTTTACCATTTGTAATTATATAACCATATATATTTTGGTCTATGAACCTTCAGTGAAATACCAGCTTGCATTTAAGATATTAGTTATTCAAATCGGACGGTTTTCAAGCAAACGCAAGGTAAACATCCAACATAAAAAAAAAATTATAAGGTTTTTCTATGATTGAATATCAATAGCTCCAGTATTGTTTACGTTTTTTTATATGTTTTAGACTCAAAATAATCAGTCAATTATAGGCTTTAATTTGAGCTATTGATCGTTTGAATCAGTTAAGTTTAAGATACTGTATTACACAATCAAAATATAATAAATTTGATTATTCCTCGGATATGATATTTATTTTAACGCCGCAGTGCAGCATGGGTCCTTTAGTATAGATTTTTTAGTTTGATTTGATTTGATTAGTTGATTCCTGTGCGTAGGACGGGCCCACAGCAAGTTAGAATTTTAAAATGCAAGTATGGTGAAGTCATCAGCTTGTTCTCAGTGACATGCAAGCAAATGAAATGAAACGAAGTGAGCAAAATATTTTGCAAGTACTGTACTTGATGTTTTTGAACAATGCATTATTCTGCTTGAAGTTGAAAACCGTGATCAGAATTCCTAGATGGTCTCTTTATCAGCTGGAAGACCTGTACCCGAATCGGTGGAAGACAATTTACTCAATGTAGATAATCTAGGGAAAGCTGCATGCAAACAGATTAGTTGAGATAAGAGCAATAAGAAATATATTTCTGGAGTTTTACTGCTGTCCCAGGAACGTGATATTAACCTTGAGAAGCTGATGACATACCCATTATATCCAGTACCATGGGCATCAGCCACTGTCGATGGATGCCCAACCAAAACAGAAAAGGCCAAACTAGTCCATGCTTTGGATAACAAGGGTATAGACGAACCTCTCAAGATTGAAGAATGTATGTATGTAATTGACGTCATGGCTTACTTTTAGGTTCTTACTAATATTCCAGAAACCTCTGGTGAACTAGCACAGATTGCCTTCAGCCGTTTTCCGAAACTCAGCAGGATATACTTTATTGCGGATACCTATTTAGATGTAACTATTAAAAACATTGAAAGAGAGAAGAGGATTTGGAGAAACGTTCTTAATGAGATGTCCAAAATCAAGATCCCACGGGATTGGAAAAAAATCCTAGCTAATGGTAAAAATAAGGAACAACGGGTTAACATGCTAAATAATGAATGGTCTCAGCACAAATATTCATAAATTCAAACAAGCTTCAATACACGTTTCTAAGGTAATGTAAGGTTGTTTTTGGTGATAGTTTGAAATTCACCCCCCACCCACAAACAGGGTTGACATTTTTTTAAATGGAAACCCATATCAATCGGCACATTATTTTAAAGAGATAAAAAAAAATAAAATTATTGCCGCAAATCCGATTTTGATACGAGGAAAACGAAGTTTTAGACGTTAATTTTACTGGAACCTTACATTCCAGTAAAATTTACGTCTAAAATGTCTCAATAAAATTTATTTAATTTAATTAGAATCTCTTAAAATCGCTTTCCTAGAGGTACTCTTTAAATCTAATGTTATTTAAATAGATTTAATTGAAAATCAATTCAGGCCAATTTGAAATCCGCATTGCTTGCAGGTTTGCTGCAGCGGGGGTCTTAAAAGAAGAAGTCCATAAAGAATATTGCACCAGTATTAACGCAGGCTATCCTTTTGTAATTTAAATAAAACAGTTTTTTTTTAAATTTAATAGTTTTTCTTTATTTTTTGGAATACGCTGTAATTTAAAAGAGGCAAACAACTGAATTCTTAATCTGGTAGGTAATACCAACAAAAAAAAGTATAAGTCATAAATTCCCACGGGGGGGGGAGGGTTTCATATTGGTGGCTCATGGTCTATCTATGTTTACTCAATGTTTTAAATAAAGAATTCAACTTACATATATATTTTTAGTTCGGGTTTATAACAATAATTCATATTCAATTTGAGGAATGAGTCACACGGAATAAGAACTGAAACTCTTTATTTAGACGTTGAATTGTAAAATGATTTTTTAGATTTCATTTTAACCAGATTTTTCTTCTTGTTTTCAGGAGACCCTGGATTACCCGGATTTCCTGGAACGCCCGGGACGCCAGGCCCACCGGGTCCACCAGGTCCTTCAGAGTTTTCCAATCTGGATGTAAGTTAAAACCTATGTTTATTATTATAACTAATTAAACAGTAATATATTCACAGAGCCGAGTGTCTAACCATGTATGTAGTCTAGTTGTGACAGTTTGCTGCAACAGCGATCAGTTTTAACATATCCTTCAAGCTCCTTTAATTGATCGCATTTGATTTAAATATATTAGGGAGATTATTTTGGAATCTTTAAAAAAGCTCTTGTATTAGCGAATTTCCCTATAGGGAAGTAGCTATTACCGTAGGTGGCACGGTAAGACCTAGACAAGGGACCGATTTACTTTTTCATTTTGATGTCCCCAGAGGCCAAAAACACTATTCGTTCAAATTTTTCTATATGTATATATATATATATATATATAGACTTTTATATATATATATATATGTATGTATATATACGTCCGTGAACGCGATAACTTAAGTAATTTTTGTCCGATTTTGATGAAATTTGGTTTAAAGGTGTAAAGCGGGATAAACTTGAATGAGTTCGCGAACCAGCACGATCGGACCATGGGAATGGGGCTTTACGGGGCGTTTTATGGGGTAAAAATTGGTTTTTCTCACAAAACACAAAATTTCCCAATTTCTCTTTAGACCTTTTTAAAGAGCTTAAAAAAACAAATAATTTAGTATATAAAAGTATTTTTGTTCGATTATTAGTACGGTAACGGAGAAAATTAAAAAAATTGTAAATTTAAAATTCCCATGTTATTCTTATGGAGAATATTGTCAAATAATGTAGCTTGCTTGTTTATGAATATATTTTGATCAAACTTGGCAAATTTATTTATTTTGTACTAAGCTATCAATATTTTACTCAAAAACACACTTTATTAGTTTCTTTGTAGCAGCAAACCTAGGTACTCGTTAAACCTAATGTTATTAAAATATATTTAACTGAAAATCAATTCAGACAAATGGAAATTCGCTTAGTCGGCAGGTTTGCTGCGGCGGGGGTATTATTTTTTTATAACCAATCCCTACTGATCAAATCGTTCGATTAAATGGAGGGGAAATTTTGCAAACCTCTGACCGAAGAAATATGTGAAGAAATATTCTCATAACTAGTTCAACGACAAAAATATGTACAACCACTACTCTTTTAAATACAAATCTATAGACTGTAAAACAACAAACATTCTTAATTTTGGAAAAATTCTTAGTTGCTTAGATTCAAAAAAAACTCTAGAGTTTTTAACGGTTTACCATAATAACCTAAAGACAGTATTGGGTGGCTGGTTGTATTGTATTTTGGATGTTTTATTTATATTTGTTGTTTATTATTAAAAATCTATACATACCCGATAACATTGGGTATCTTATAACGATTGAATGTAATTTTTATGTTGATAAAATATGTTTTTGTTGATATAGATTATACAATATTGATTGACATAAATTATTTCATATGTAACAAATTTGTTTCATGCTATTAGCCTAGCTGGAAGCCGAGATCTATGTTCAAGGTATTAAGCTTGCAGCATATACAGTATATACGCATGCAGATATTTTTTTAACCAGTGTTTTGTGTTTAAGTAATGTATTTAGTAAAATTCATACATATATTCTTAACACTAAATTATTTTCCTCGTGACATTTTGTAGAGCGTTGTCAAATGTAAAAAGGTTTAAGCACCGTTAATGCGTCATCAGCCGATCTACAATGTGTAGTGAATATATAATGTTTTCCAGAAACTACAATTAAGTTACAAAGTTTTATTAATAAAAAGAAAAAATACTTTTCCTACAGTCACCCAAAAAAGTGGGCTACCTTGCACTGATTATAGTACAAAAAGCTACTAATTCCTGATTTTTCTTACTTTGCCACAAACGTTTTACTTTGTCCCACAGTTTTTACTTTGTCGCTCAGTCTTTACTTTGGCGAACACCAGTATTACAACCAAACAAAAAAAAACAGCGTGCTTTTATCATACACGTAATCCGTGTACGCTTGGAAATAAGTTGGCAACACTTAAATATACTACGACTACAATCAGCTGTTGCAGTGTTTCCCATTTCGTTCAACGCTTGGATTTTTAAATGTGATGTTTAGTGTTTGAAAGACTATACTTTAACTGTAGGAAAGATATAATTTGTAACACGAGTGCAAAGCCACTTCGCCCACTAGGTACGCAATAGTATATTTCGTACCAAGGGCCGAAAATGAGGTTTTGCCGGCTCGAGATAGTTTTTAAGTTCGAGACGAAGTCGAGAACTTAAACGATCGAGAGCTGCAAAACCATTTCGGTCCGTGGTACGAACGCTATTTTTCACCACACTATACCCTATTACCACTATTCACCACTATAATAATGCACACTGATCGTCAACACAACTACAACTTTAGAAATAATTTGAGGAATCAGCAAAAATATAAAGAAATAGTTGCTAGGCAACGGTGACAATAACACAATTCTATATTGCAATGGTATGGATTTTGATTGTGTATTTAAAACGCATTCATGTTCTAAGTAAGTAAGCGGACAGCTGATTTTGCGGCCCCGGCCTGTAAAAACCTGCTCGGTCCCCAAATTGGCGACAGCTGGCATGGCCAGCAAAACGTAACTTTCAGCCACCAATTAACGTATGTAATACAGCCAAAAACATCATAGTGTGGTGAAAATAACTTTTCTTCACGAAGATATATTTACCACTAAGCACATTCTACTTCAATGAACATTATGTAACGAATATCTCACACTTTGTGTTTAATGATACAAAGGATATTAATTGCAATTTGAAACTGTTGGTTACTCAACCAAAAATGGTTTAATCAAAGTCGCAAACGGACCACTACCACTGATGTGGCAAGTGTAATGTGACGAGGGAGGTAACTTTCTCCCTCCCACATTTTGCCCGTATATTAAAATTAATAAACCCCTCCCTTTGCCACTCGTATTCCTTAAACGTGTTACGATATTTTACAGAAAATTAAATTTGTTGGAACCTTGACGTTTTTGACGTATCACACGTATGACTTAGTTAAGAGCCATATGATTGTAAGGTGTTTCAATTCAAATTCAATTATTCAATTCAATTATTTACCTCCTGTCAATTCATCAATTACATCCAATTAAAGTTTTAATTAAATACTAGCATAGAGTATCATGAGTAACCAATATATCCAGCTATGGTAATGTGGGAGTATTGTAGTCTTTGTATATACATTATTTAAAAATAATTTGTTTACTAGCATTAACAATGATTATGGTTCAAAATGTATTCTTCTAAGTTGTGATGAGATTGAAAAAGTTGGTAGCACACGTCAAGTGTAAAGTAGGCTAAAATAAAATATACCTAGTTGTTCTAAAAATCCTGCGAAGGGGACTACAGAAACACCTTAAGCGCATCACGAATTTTGAACGTAAAAAACCTAACCAACCATCTTATTACTCTAATCAATATGTATCCCACATAGGAAACTCTGATGGGTGCTGGCTTCGATTCGTCCGTTGGTCGACCTGGAACACCTGGACCAAAAGGGGAACCGGGAGTGGACGGGGCTCCAGGACTGAAGGGTGACAGGGGGTTCCCGGGGGATAAGGGAGAAAGAGGAGAGGGAGGACAAAAGGGACAAAAAGGAGAGCGAGTAAGTATCCTTATAATTGATTAAAATTCAATATTAATTTATATTTTCAAAGCAATACATTTTAATTTACGTTCGTAAACGTACGATATCAATATTAATAAGGTATTAAAATCGAGCATTAAAATCAAGTGAGTTGGAGAAGGGGTTGTGAATATTTCAAACTAAACCAATGGTATTTAACGTTTTAGGACCCTAAAACGTTGAACCCACACCCCTAAACGTTAGTACCCTATCTATATATTAATAGGCAAGCATGTTTTTTTAAAACCTTTTTTCTCAGCTCGTGTGCATCGTAGAGAAAATCTACGCATACTGTTAGAAAGATATTTCCTGTAGGTGTGCAGAATCCCATAATAAATTAAATTAGGCTTAAAATAACTGCAAAAAATGAATTTAAATTAAAAAAATTAACATGGGCCTTATGGGTTGTCATGCCGGTGACGAAATAACAACTAAATATAAACAGAAAATCAAAACAAATGGAAACAATTACAATCACATATTTTATTTACAGCGTGGGGTAAAAATTGAGAAATCTGAAAATAAGAAATTTTTGGTCGAGTTTTTGACCACAGGACGACCTCTCGTGTTTATTAAATGTACAACATTCATTTTTAACTTTTAGGGCAAACATCCTCGGAATAAAATTGGTATTTTATTTTTGATGTGCTATAACAGGGACATCAGGGACCTACAGGGGTACAGGGCTTCAAGGGAGAACCAGGCACTCCGGGTACAGAGGGGAGGCAAGGGATGCCTGGCGAAAACGGTCGTCCTGCCAGCAAAGGAGAAAAAGGTAAGACAAATGTAAAAGTAAAAATTTTTAGATTTGTTTAGTTTTAACAAACTTAATCAATAATTTGTGATTTAATTTTTTGAAACGTAAAGTCATCCAAAAGTTATATGTCAATTGGTTTAATTTATATGAAAAGTGATCTTTTTGGTCTACCATCATCCTTATCAATTACCGCAGCAAAAGGTTTTGTGACTGATGCTATATGTATTTAATCGCATTACTCAGTTTAACCGTTGCACTTTATTGTTTTGTGGATAACATTTGAATGTTTGTATAGGAAAAACATTTACACAACTTCTTCAAAGTTGTTGTTTTTTTGTTGCATTTAGTTGTGTTTCTGACTTGCTTAATTCATACATATATTTGCCTTAGTGATGTATTTAACCTATTTAAATCAATGTAACCATTGTTTAATATGTTTGATGTTCAATATAATGTGTAATAAATATTCTGATTTTATCAATTTACGTTATTTAATAAAGAGAACAAATTCATTCATTTTAATATTTTTCACTATAGAATAGAATATTTATTTTGATTTGATTTTTCATTCAGGTGATTCAGGCACCCCAGGACCCCCAGGTCCCCCCGGTCCGCCAGGAGTTGTTCCTGCAGGATTTGATCTGGAACTGACAGGATCTGGCCTGGGATCTGCTGCAGGTAGGCCTAATAACCAACGGAAATATTATCATTGCAAATTAGTAGGACTATAAAATGTATTAAAATCGTATGTTATTGGTAGTGATTACAATGGATATCATAAAGACTAGAATATATCCATTGTAAACAGCTTATACATGTACATACATCATCATGAAATTCAAGCATACTGTTTTTCCTTGTTTTACTGCTGCTATTTGTACCTATAACAATGACCAAATAATAATAAAGAAAATAGATAGCAAAAAATGAACTACGAAACAATGCATTATTTTAACTCAGTGTTTCTATAACTGTTAAAGAATTCGGTATGAAAGGGGAGCCAGGACCAAAAGGAGAGAAGGGTGAGGCTGGTGATAAGGGAGACAGAGGAGAGCTGGGCCCGAGTGGTCCATCTGGAATACCTGGATCTGTTGGATCTCCGGTACGTAACAGTATTTTCTGTGTTACTAAAAATGTTATACACAGTTAGATTAAATATATATTGTCAAACTCTCGCGATTAACTTTAAATTCGATTTCAATTTATTTCACAAATCAATATACAATGATTAAGTGAATAATTAATTAATTTAACTTTCTTTTTAAATAAATGTGTTTCGATTACACAAATTAAGCCTACTAGGTTGATATCTTATGGTCTTATGGTTTGTACACATTTTAGTCAAGCATTAGATTCTAACTAGGTCAGCGTTTTCACTTGGAACAGCAAGGCGTAATATTATTTATTTCAAAACCTAATCATTTATTTATAATTAAACTTTTTACCACGATTTTTGTAACAGAAATTTGTACATCCTTTACAAAAGTTAACACTCTTACCAAATCTTACATGTGAAGATTCTTTTTCGAGATGAAAGAGCGTGAATAGTTCTATTACATCCACCCTTTCACAAGACATGAATGAAATTGAAAATGTATATAGAAAAACTCGCAAAAAATCCTTACGTGAAATTGTATTTTGTTGATATTATTTACAATAAAATAATGGTTTTAAAAGAAAGCCTACTAGCTACTGTCAAAATTAGATCACAACGATAAAAGTGTGCAATAACGCTTTTATAATATTTGAAAGAAATTTTAAACATCCATACTTTTAAAATACCTATCATATGCCATCAATTCTATAAATAACCAATATTAAACATTTTAAGTTGCAATTTTGGGATTACCCAAAAATATCAATAACACCAAGGGAGTCCGAACAGAATAGAATTTGCGTTTTTTAAACACTCTAAGTCGAAAGAAGGATTCTTAATATCAGAATAACTGTGAGATAAGTAAGGAACAGCTGATAAAGATGTGATATCTCTTGGTATTGCATCAAAGTGTTTCACATCACAGAGCTGCACATTGCAGTCTGCCAATCTTCTAGACTTCATTCACTCTCAGCATATGTGTTCGGCTCACTCTGTTCTCTGTATTCAAAGTCTCCTTTTGTGTTTCCAAGCTAGAGTTTGTTTGAAAACTTAGAAATACGGTCACTGAACATCAAAACATTTGATGTAAAATGTTTAGATACATAGTAAATTAAATTATCTTGGTTGAAATAGTTGACGTTATACATAGTAAATGATTCTGTATTTTTATTTATGAGTGAATTAGAAATAGTATAGTGTGTTTAATTTTTTGGACATTTAATTTAAAATAATTAAGGTAAAACTATGTGTTGGATTATATGTGATGGATTATATTAGATTAAAATAATTAGTATAATTAAATACAAAATGTTTTCGTTTGCATGTTTTTACAATAGGTAATGGAACTCCTTCAATCATAAAGTCTCTAATTTCTGGTTTTATGATGTATTTATTTTCATAACCATACCGTAAAAATATATTTCCTTTCATAACTAAGAATAATAAAGGAATTAACACAAAAAACTTTTACTTTAAAAACAATCTGATAGTTTCCATTTTGATAATGGCATCGTAATGAAAATTATTATAAATAATTGTTCCGGTATAACCTTTGGGGGGATCGACAAAATATTACAAGAATGTCCTTTATGAAAGATACCTAATATCTCAAGTAGACTTACTTTTATAACCGTATTTCTCCCTCTTAGGGTCCGGCAGGTGAGAAAGGTGAACCAGGATCTCAAGGACTCACAGGTCCTCTTGGACCTGTGGGATCCAAAGGGGAGAAAGGAGAGCGAGGACCTCCAGGTACAGCGATGTCAGGAGAGGAGGGAGAGTTTATCACAGTCAAGGGAGAAAAAGGGGAAAGAGGCAAAAGGGGAAGAAGAGGGAAACCAGGACCTCCAGGGCCGATGGGTCCTTCGGGAAAACCAGGTCCTATTGGGGAGATGGGTATTCCTGGGTTTACGGTAAGTGTATACGCTGTTTAGCGTTCAATATGTTCGACAGTTTGAAGTCAAATATACAACAAAAATACATGGTTTCTACCTCATATTAATATCTTTACGCTAGGCTTTAGCCGATAATCCCATTAATTTAGGCTTTTCCTAAGTAACAGTCGCTATATCACTTTGAAATTAATTTGTTTGACAATCAGCGGGATTTGAACCCATAACATCGGGGAACAGTGCTTTCTTTCTACAATAGGTTGGTCCCCTCACAGTTCGCTCCCTATATTTGAAATGGTTAGGTTCAGAGAGACAGAACAAGAGCAGTGCGCAACATGCAGCACGTTATCTACCTACAAACAGTAGTTGACTTTAGTTATTCCTATTTCGTTACAGCCCTGAATGGAATCACAAGTCTTTTGAGTCTAAAAATGAAACGAATAGCAGGAATCTGCAGTTTTTGTGTTCGGTGCATGTCTTCTCCAGAGATGATTTTTCTATAACAAGGAAGATGATATTTTATCTTAAAACAACTATTGTTATGTATAATATCCATATCAAATCAAATGTACTGTCCATATGTTTATTTAATAACATGATGCAAATGTATTTTTTCATGCATCAATTGGACCCCAGAAGAATGATGTACGTATTTTTAGGAGGCTATACATTTATTTTTTGAACTGGTGTTGGGTTGATTAAAAGAAATACTCAAATTTGTAGTTTTCACACACCCCAAGTCAAGTAAAATGTGCCAAATATACTTTGCAATGTGTTACTCTGTATTTTATTACTGTAAAACCATTACATATTTTAATCTGATTTAGTCATGTTAAGTCGTTTTAAAATGTGTATGGGCCAAAAATTGATTCACCTTTTTACGAGAATACGTTAACTGCACTGCATATATTTCACAGGGGCTCCCTGGTAGACCAGGATTGCCAGGAGAAAGAATGATAGGCCCTAAAGGAGATAAAGGTGAACCTGGACAAGTATTAGACGTGGTAAGTATGATGTTATAATAGTTTCCATAAAATATACAAAAGTATTATAAGTGATAAAAATGATATTTAGTTAGCACATCTAAAAGTAAACTGTCAACTGAACCAAGTCACTGTATACGTTTTTTACGTGATAAATTAAGTCATATTCAGAATAATTTCTTAAATCTGATCAAAGTTGGGCCCATGCTACAATGAATTTCTTATTAATGTATTGTTTAAAGATGTTTCTTCTTTTTTCGTATAATTCGATGGTCACTTTCTTGGTCCGTATTGAAATTTATTTTTTTCCATCACATATCTGTTAAACCAGTTTTAATAATTTGATCCAATTAAGTACTTAAGTAATTAAGTATACTTTGTTGTGGAAATCAAAAGTCATAAAATTGGCTTAATCCTTTTCTATTAAAAAAAGCATCGTAAAAGACTCCTTAGGTATCAACTCAGTTAAGTATTCCCCTAGCTAGAGGCATACGTGTACCAGCTATTACAAACAATAATTTTCAATAAAAAGTAATTACGTAATTTGTTTTACTAACTTAAAAAAACACAATGCTCTCAAATCTGTATACAAGTAGACTTTATCGAACTCGATTTCAGATAAAAGGTGAGAAAGGAGACCCTGGCATAGATGGGAAGGCGGGACCCCCAGGCCCTCCTGGAATGCCGGCCCCCGGGACAAACACGCAATACCTCCCTCTACCAGGCCCACCCGGGCCCCCAGGACCCCCTGTGAGTAACTTAAAAGAGCAGTTACAATAATTTTATTTTAAAAGCAGAATATAAAACCTTTAAGATGGTGACAAAAGTGTTCTGGTGATTTTACCTGTGGATAACTAGAAACGTAGTGTCAATGATAATGCCACAATACGTTTTCGTTTTAGAGTATGTGGAGGTAAAAACATAGTTTGATCCAGTATGTTTCCTTTTACGTATTTACTACCTACTACTAGAAATTGAGTTAGCATGCAAAGCGAATTCCTCGTTTTCCATTCGTCTCTCATTTTCTGTCCATGAAATTTGTTCACTTTCTGTTAGTTTTCTTCATGTTTTCTCCGGCGATTACTTTAACAAAACTGTTATCGAACCGGTTTTTATGTTTTGATAAATATTGATTTCTATAACATCCATTAATAATTATTGTTGCGCTGTTTTATATATTTTTAACATGGCCATTCATTATTCAATGATGTGGTTAACTTGTAGTTAACGTAAGCTTTCTAATGAAATCATTGTTTTACACAACTAACTGTGATCATATTTATCTGCTTGTTATCCACAGATATATGTCTGCTGACAAGTTACCTATCATGATATTTCTTGATTAGCTAACACTTTGGATCAAATGAAAAAACCAAAAACTAATTAAATAAGATCCATACTTTTGGATTTTGGTCTTATTGTGAGATATACCCTGGAGATAGCGTGTTCGTATATCGTTTACTTACACCACTTATTTACCCAGGGACCTCCTGGGATGCCGGGGATTGGCACGAAGGGAGAGCCTGGACCCCCAGGTCCTCCTGCAGGCAGACATGTGTACGGAGAAGCGGTCCATCATCCTAGACAAGGTAGGCTGTTGAAATATCTTGGATAGCCTTGTGTCAATAATTCTATGTTTGAGATAAAATTAAAAATTAATTTAACTAAATGGTGTAAATAGATTACGTATGGAATACAAAAGAATGGGTTTATTGGTTTATTGTTTGTTTTTTATTAGCTTTCTATTTTTATTTTCTTATTGTCAAAAACTTACCTTAAAATTATTGTTTGATGTTACGGTATGGTTACATAAATCATTTAATGTACCCGTATTCCGATATATAGTTTAGAAAAACTATTCAGGATATTTTAAGTTATTTTTTAATATCATCGGACGTGGTAATAGTATAAAACACTCACAACTTTACAATCAGTCTTAACACCACATACAAATCTGCAGAATAAACCATAACATTTAACATTTTACACGCTGCAAGGACACCGTGGAAGTTTAGACGAACTCAAGGCTCTTAACAATCTCCACGGCGCGAGAGAAAAGTTTGAAAGTGAGTTACAAATGTGTTGCTATTATATTCAACTATTTAATGAAGTCGCAGACCAATAGATCAAAATTAAAGCTGTCATTATTAAATTTACTGCTAGTCTGGAACTTATATTGTCTTAACACCATCCTAGACTCCTAAAATGCATTTAGGTTCCTTTATACTTCTTTGGTTGCTTGATATGATAAACCTTTCTTGAGTAATAAAAATTGTGTTTCACATATAATTGTTATATATTTTGCATGGCCAAAAAGGTTACACAATACCTTTCCAATAATCTTTCTCGTAGTTGGTTATATATTTTCATGTTTGAAATGTGTTCGTATGCATGGATTTCTAGTAAATGTATGTAAATGTTTATATTTTACAGTATAAAAAAATAACGAATTTTAGATTATAGCTTAAGTAAAAAAAAAACAAAAACAGTACAACCAGGTGTTAAAACACAAATGTTTTGTCTATTTTCCAAACAACAAGTATTTATAAATAACTTATCTTTTGTTAATTCAACAACCTTTTATCATAATATTTTTAAACAGGTTCCTACAAAACGACGGAGGCAGGAAAGGACGAAACTGTAAGGATAGTGCCTGGAGCAGTCACCTTCAAAACATTACAGGACATGGCCACGGTATTGTATTTACTGAGAAACAAACTTGCAAACAAATATTTTGAGGAGAAAACAAAACATTTGGAATGTATGCTATATTACATACTTAACGTAATTTTACATTCCAAATTATTCATAATATGAATTAAGTTAACCAATATGATATTTATTATTCTATTATTTTCACGAGGATTGCTAATATTCCTAACTTTATCCTATGCCTTTGCATTTTCAGACCTCACTAATGTCACCAGTGGGAACGCTAGCATATGTTATAGATGAAGAAACTCTCCTGGTGAGGGTGAATAACGGCTGGCAGTATCTTTTGGTACGTATTTTTTCATACACAAATGATTCCTAAAAATTCTAACCTTCTAACCTTATATTCCCTGTATGTTTACCTGTTAATGTACGTATCGTAATATTACAAAATATTTTAAACGGTAAGCTATCATATGTCATTTGGAATATGCTACCTTAGTTGTTACGAAACGTGTACGATTGTACCGTACAATTAATTGTGTTAAGATTTGAAAAATTTATAGAATACGAAATATCAGATATTTTTTTTAAATTTTGATAAAGATTTTTCATCATGATAAAAAGTATCGTCCAATAATCGTCACGAAAGTCCCATTTCGGGACTTGTCTTCGACTCGCATGTAAAATACTATGTCACCCCGAAATGGGTCACTTTCGTGACTGCTAGTGAAATGTACTATTGTTAGTATTACAGTGTAATACTGATAAAGAACACGGATAAATACGTTTAGACTGTAGCATACTCTTTAAAAAGCTCATTTAAAACAAAAAAATATATAATTTTTGTTTGAGTTTATTAAATTTAAACAGCAGGTTCCATATAGTGATGACTTTCAGTATCCGAAAGCTCATGATTTTACACGCATTGACTTGTATGGCATTGCTCTGATTAGCAAGGCACCAGTGACACCTTTTCTGAGATAAATTCCTGGGTGATTTATTATTTATTTTACTTCCTCCACAGCTAGGACAGCTGGTGCCTATCAGTCAGGAGCCTGACGTTGCGCCTCCACCCTCCGTCCCCGTGGAACATCCCAGACCTCCCCCTGAGGCGTCCAACCTCGTATACCACAACCTGCCTATGGACAGCCCTGACATCAGTGTGGTGAGTAACATGCCTCTAGAAAGTGTTGAAAAACTTTCATATTTGATCCTTCAGATTTTAGTTCTATTTCGCTAACTGTATTTCTTCCTATTAGATATAATTATTATTTTAAGTATCTAAGCTATTTATTACGTATGTTTGTGTAAAAATATCTACCTAATGAAAAGGTACTTGTTGGTAATACGTAATAGATATGCATAGGAATTTATTCTTTAAAATATTTATTGTTCACAGTAAATTACAATATTTATGATAATTTAATAATACTAATGGATAAGAATATAACAAATTACTAAGTAATTTCTTCACGAAAGCTTTGGAACGTTCCAAACATAACAACATAGTTTGTAACATAACTTGTAACATTAAAATAGTAATCAATTCTTGCAACATTTTTTTGTTTTGTGCTGCCAAGCCCGAGCCTAGAGTGGTAAGTAGAAAAATTATAAAAAATAAGTAAACCAAATATTCCATAAACTAATTTTGGCTTTAAAACCCATTTACAAATATATTCAAGGAGTTTTAAATTGGTTTATCTGAATCATCAAATACATATGAAGTAGCTAGGTTTGTATTTGCGACATTGAAGCATTAACCTTTGCTTTTTTATAGGAACACGTTCATAGAAACAGTACGTTGTCTGGATTATTCATTTATTTATTTTCCCATTCTAGTTGTTCCCTTGGGCTCTGGAGAAGATTATATTGATTATATTAAACATGATTCAACTTTCGTTGTAACATTCAAACAGTATTCCACCCTTCCCCGATCAATGTCTAGATGAATTGAATTAGCTTTGATTAAAACTTCCAGTATTTCATTGACCTTATGGTTTATTTTTGTTCAGCTGCGTCTAGCTGCCCTCAACGAGCCCTGGTCCGGCGCCTTGGGCGGACAGCGAGGCGCAGACTACGCCTGTTACAGACAGGCGCGGAGGGCGGGGTTGGGCGGAACCTTCAGGGCGTTCCTGACGTCCAGGGTGCAGGACCTGGAGTCTATAGTCCGTGCCTCCGACAGGGGCCTGCCAGTCGTCAACATCAAGGTAGGTCCCCACTGTATGCTCTGTCACCCATAATAGATTGTTCAAATTATTATTTATTTACTGAAGATATGCAACTAAATGAACTTAAATGGTAACCTCCTCACCAGGCAATATAACAAGCTTGAATTAAAGCTCTTATTTAACCAAACAACAATGTGCATAGTAATTTTATTTTCCATGCATCATTGTTACGATTGTTATAAAAATACTATCATTTGTGTGTTTAGGGAGATGTTCTTTTCGACTCGTGGAAGGAGATTTTCTCAGGAGATGGCGGATACTTTTCCCAGCCTCCTAGAATATACGCCTTCAATGGCAAAAATATTATTACGGATATAAATTGGTAAGTTACTATTGTATAACGAAAAGTTAATTAATTAGTATTTTTACATAGTGAAGACATATTAACCCATTGTAGGCTATATTTGTGCAATTTTTCATTTAACACTAAGCATCATATTTTTTTGTTTAGAGTAAAACCTCTGGCCACATTATTCAGCAGCATTAGCTTCTTAACGAATATCACGCGTTTTTCTAACCACTAAAATTATAAACATATTGCTGTCGATTGGGTCTCATTATATTTAGACAAGCACTTCAATTAACAATCATCATTTACAAACTAAGTTTTTTTTAAGCACCAAATAATCCAAATAATTTTTAAAGTCTAAATCAATGAAACTAGGCTTCCCTTTATACCTATATTGCATTCGTCGTTAAAAGTGGACAGAACCAATTCCATAAACACCTCTACAATATGTACAATAATAACCACTAATAGTCTAGTATGTAGAGTAAATGATTCATAGTTAATGAGAGTTAATGAGTTGATGAGTTAATGAGAAAACATATATTTACAATTAACTACGACTAGAGCCATTGATCAAATGTGTAATGATATAGAACACCTAAATCCAGGTCTGAACATTGAAATGTTGACTCAACCTTTTCTTCAAACCCATCTGCCTTTACCATAAAACCACCTCCCTTACTTATCCATTTTAACACAAAAGATACAAGTAAATACTTAAATACATATAGTCTAGCAAATATTTCATTTACGTTGTTAAATGAGTCCAGCCTTGTACAATATACAGAATGGGGATACAGGTTACACGGTGGTTTCACTTTATCATTCAAGCCCTCTAACCCATTGACTTTTTAGGCCCCAGAAGTACTTCTGGCACGGGTCGCGCCCCTCCGGCGAGAGAGTACCGGAGTCTTCCTGCGGTGTTTGGGAGACCGACGACCAAGGCAAGTCTGGACTAGCGACATCGCTGCTATCAGAGAGACTGCTAGGCCAGGAGTCGCTATCGTGTAGTCACAGGTTCGCCGTGCTGTGTATAGAGGTCGCAAGCAGCTCCAAGCGACGACGCCGTTCTAGTGCGGACGAATAAGTAGACTCTGCCTAGTGCGGAACCTTTTGTACCGATGCGTTTTGTACTTTTTTATTTGTTAGGTAGGCGGAATTTAATTTAGAGCCAGTATTAGTTTCGTAATTAGATTGTTTTTAAAAGAAAATTTTAGAATAAATTTGATATAAATTGAAGTTATTTATTCGCGGTTATCTGACAAAGATAACCCCATATGAAAATAATTTTGTTATAGCAAGAATACATTGAATTTAGTTTTAAACTATATTTTACCCAATATTACAAAACATGGGCTTTGTTAATATTTTACAATGGAAATCGAAAGTGAACAATTTTATTTATTATCTAGCTACATTTTATCCTATTATTTCATCATTATTTAAAAAGTTTATACAACGGTTCACGACCTAAAACCATTTCTAAACAAAGCCTAATTAGTTGTGTAGGTTAACCTTAATTTATACCCTGTTAAGTTTCATTTATAAATACATTGTATTAAACGTAAAAGACCACTAATAACACCAAACTACACTGTGTCTATAGCAGCTTTCAAAAACATCACCAATTAATACGATTTTAAGTATTTAATTTTAAGTTTAGGTTCACGTGTAAATATTATTTAAGGGCATATTGTATATACAATTGGTCTGTCTTGGACATGTGTTAAAGAAGGGTTTAGTTTTAACATGTTTAACACATTTGACCACCGTTTTACTTTAAAGTAAATCTCTGCTAATTGAAATATGCATTTAGAAACTGTATGTCTCTTTATGTAATGTTTTAATATGTATAAAGTGTAGAGTTGTTTTCGGTGATTTTGAACTTTAAAATGGTGCCAACTAGATTTTGTTTAAGAGATAAAAATGTATAAACCGTATGTATTTCAATACCATTATCTGAATTTTGACTTGATTGTGATGACTGGAATATGTACATTTCTGTTAAAATAAATTTGTGATTGTTTTTAATATTGTCTATATTGTATTCCCGATCAATTAGAATTACCTTTTTTGTTAAGTTCTTGCATAAGACTAAACCAGATACGAATAACTGTAGTGTAATTTGTATTACTAAGAAGGACAGGAAAGTCTGAGGAGAAATCCTTAAATCTCTACTAAATACAACTACTGTATGTAAAATATTTACTATACCAACATAACTCTCTATGCAAATATGTCATAAATAATTGTGAAATAATGCATAATACAGTAGAGCATGCATCAAATGATGGGCTGAGAGATGATTGTACATTTACAAATAATACGATGATTCGTAGCCATACAAACATTTAGTGTTAACAACACAATTGTAGTAATACTGTGTTGTAATAGTGTGTTACCTAAACATACGAGAAATTTTACAACTTACAGTAGTACAAAAAAATCAAGCATATAATTGCAAAACGTAAATGACATTTTCGGATTAAACAAAAGATTCAATTAAAACAAGTGTTTTAATTTCAAATTAAAGATTTAACCAATCGGAAGAAAGGTTAAGTGTTAAGAAGAGAAGTTTCACAGTTTACCTCAAGTTTTTGCATCATGCATAAGCTGAGGAAGGGTAACTTCTTTTTAAGGGCCTCTTAACGTACCTTGCTACAGTCAAAAGTTACTTTCCTCAAGATAAATAAACAAATCGGTTTGTTCTACTATGCTCCTAAACAAAACTCTCTGACCTCTTAACATAAATATTATATTGACTTTAAACTGACATTGATATCGATCTCATGATTTAACTTAATCAGAACTATAAATCATAAAACTAAGTCCCTATTAAATATATGATATGTGGTTTTTGTTTTTCTTTATAAATAAAGCAGAGGAAGATTTCTATAGTATTTTATTTTTACAATAATTTTGTAATAATTTGCAATAATTCTAACTATCTTCTTCTAAGAAATAATGTATTTCAGTTTTATTTTTTGTGCCATCATTTATAAACAGACAAAACATTCGCTGTGTTTTAAAGGTTTCGTCATCAACTTGAATTTTAACATCCGAATAAATAGAGCTTCAAAACACAACAACTCAATTTAGGACTGAGTTAAACATACTGGATTAGTGAAAGAACTAGTCCATATATTCTACAGGTAAGCCTGGCACTTTTACATGTCCGACTAAAACCATTTCCATGTCATACCACATGTAGACGTTGCTCGTCTACATTAGCCTACGTTGAAAGGATTAACAAGTTTTAAAACAAAAAATGCATAAATTAATTTAGTAAATTATGTTATAAGTTCCTTAACAGTAATAATATACACATTTTTGTTATAAATTTCGTTGTTAATGTTTACTCATATTATAAATAAAGAGCTTTTTAAGGCCTAGTGTAAATAATAAAGACGAACCACTAAATGTGCAGTCATGGTGTATTGAACCACTTGTAAGGTATCCTGACGAAATGAAAAGTGTTTTAAATCTCTTGTTTTTTTTTAACTTAGATTAAATTTAAGATTAATAATATTGTTGAAAACTAATAACAAAATAATTAACGTAATACGAAGTTGGTTTTCGTTTTCTCCTAAATGGATTAAAAATTTTATTTTCCAAATATACCAAATAAACCCGTTGAAGTTTATTAAAGACCACAAAGATCAATACGTATTTACAAAAGAGGTCATTATAAATTTAATTCTTACATAAAAAATAAATTCGTTCTTTTTTGTTGTTGCAAACTGCAGTGCTGAATGTTTACAAAGCACTTGAGATGAGAAGTTTTATATATTGGTTTCGTCTGATTAGAATCAAAGATTGAAGGAATGTTTGCTTCCTAAATGAATTTAACTTAAAGATTCTCTCTCGGTTACTAAACATAGGTCCATATTTGCAACAGAATTGCACATAGGGTATATACCAACAAAATTTGATAGGCAATTAAAATACCCCGTTGCTGGATTGTAAGATTTAACTAGTGCAAATAAGAAATAATACATATAATACATTTTAAGTTTGAACAAAAATTAAGTGACTTAAATAATTTTATTTAGAGGGTCGCATTCTTTTTGTCTTGAAACAAAATTTATTCATACTATCAAAACCAACAATCACTAATTGGAATTATTTCTTACTCTAGTTGATCTCACAATTAAAGTTGTCCCTCCATAGTACAGCATTAACACCCTCCCAACAAACAGTTAAACTAACTTTTGGTTATCATTTATATGTTTATTTTTCAATATGAAATTAGTATGTTGGGTTGTTTTTATTGTATACCACTGACATTGCGTTATACAAGTCAAAGTTCATTGTTTCTGTCTAATTAATAACGACTATAACAGCTGTGTTATAAGTCAGCTCACAAAAGGACTGTCGTTGAGGACGTTCAACACATCCTTCACAAGAGAGACAATAAGAGTCCTGAATTATGCATGAACTTCTTGCCTCGAAATTAAATTTGGAGTCTTAGTACTGTGTAGGACCGTAGAAGACTTGTAATATGTCGCCAATGTTTAATTTGTAAATGAAACAGCATTCCAAGTGTTTTGTCGCTATATTTATGAAGTTTTTGAATTTTTCGAAATAACAACTAAAATAAAAAAAATACATTTTTTTCTGGAATGAAATATTAATAACTGAATCACTTTAATCCGTTAAGCGTTTCTAAATGATTGATTTTCTTAAATTGTGGTACAGATTTTATTGGGGTGAATCTTTTAACGGAGAAACCTATTTAAGTATCTCACTTTTCAGTTTGTTTCCAAATACGTTGGCAAAAAATGTAAAGTTTCACTCCAAACTGATAGAAACAGCATTTAAACACAGGTAATATAAATAATGGTTTATGTTAGTTACAGATCAGCATGGAAATATGTTTATAAACAATATATTACATTTGTACAGTAGCTATAGTTGAGTTTGAATACAGATTTATTCATAACATGTTTATTTTGTAAAATATATATTAAACGGCTGTCACCAATAGATAGCTTTCCTAGCACGCAGTTAATAGTATTTTTTAAATTTTTATCACCAGTTTTGAGGAATGTATTACACTCTACAGCATAACAGAGCGTCCAAATACTAAAAATTTAAAATCGTAAGTATTGCAATATATTCAAACTGAACAATATCAATTTTCAGCTTAGCATAGTTTCAGAACCATATACAGAAATAGGATATAGCTTAGAAATTGATGAATACCTAATTAAACACATTCTATCCAGTCACAGTCTATACAAATTTAATGTCGATAATTCAAAAGCTCCCTAGAGTAGCATTAGAAGCGTCTACGACCCCAAAGCACATGTTTCAGAAAGTTTCTCAGAGCTAAGATTATGAAATCTCCAAACATGGCTCCAGGGAGGTTATTATTCACAAGCAAGATAACACGTGAGGCAGTTTCTAAGGTCCTCCTGACTTATCGTTGAGTTTTTTTCATTCAGGGATCGGATATTTCACAGAACGTTTAGTTATCCTTTGTGAATAAATCATTTTTAAATGTATTATGAATAAAAGGTGATCCGTGGTTTGTTAACAAACACATAGTATATTTTTAGAGTTGGGGAGCAGGCTAGCCTAGGTAGAGGCGGCTTCTTTGCCTGAGGTACCTGGTTCAAATCCAGCCAATCAATATTTTATTTATGTGATATGCCGAAAACCTAGTAATACTAGCCTAAACTAATGTGTAAAACAATTCCGGTTCAGAAGTAGCGTCCTAGGATTTGAAGATAGAACATAAAAAGCATATATAAAGAGAAATATACTATTTAACGAAAAAACCCTTACAATGCTTTGACTAGTATTTCTTGTTCCTTATTTCTTGTTATTCTTGTTTTCGTGAAAAAACATATTGACAATAAAATAGTGAAACTATTAATATCTTAAAACTTTTAATAAGCTCTTAAATATTTTAAAGCTAGCTGTAATTGCTGTATAATAGAATCTATTTTACAATTAACCCAACATTTCTGTGTGGGTCAGGTAACATGACATATTTTGAAACGAACTTAGATATCGTTGGTAAGCGTTTAGGTTTAGCTGTTTAAAAATCAGACAAGTATATTTTTCTACTGTTCCAGCTCTTAATTAGTTTTTTCCAATCTGCTAAATTCACGGTTTAGAGAAAATACTTATATTCATGAACTCTTTGATAACCTAGTGAAAGGTGTAGAATAAGTAATTGTTCAATTTTATCGGATACTAAACCGACAACGCTGCTATTTTACTTGAAGCAATGAGTTATAAGAACCTAATTATTTCTTGTACATCGGCCAAAGAAAACCATGTGCACATCTGGATAACGTTAAGAGATACCATGATACCATGTTAAGCTTTGAAAAATAGCGAACGCGTATCGTAATACATACGGGTGATTTTTTTTTTCACGAACAGGCAAAAGCCTATGCGGTAACTTTATCTATGTACATTGTTATGTTGCTTTATTATTGTCACAAGACATATTTCATATGATTTTATTTTTATGTGTAAACTAATATTTCATATCAACTATGTATGGCAGCATATACAAATGCAAGTTTAGAGTTTTCAAAGCAGGTTATTCCATATAAAAAAATCAAAATGTCCATTACAGTATCTCTTGACATAAGACATCTTTTGGAAGTGATTACAGGGATAAAATATTCCCATACTTTTATGTACATGGGTTGGGTACGTTTCGAATGGGTGGTTTGGTTGTTACCTTACAGGTAAATGACATAGTGTTTCGATTTCCTGGGTGGAGATTGGCCTCTTCCTCGTTGACTGTGGGATAAGATAGGTCGAAGGTCTTTTACCTCTAGTTTATTTAAAATTTTTACTTATATTGCATAATAAAATAATAGTTTCATTATGATATAGTGACATTTAATAGACCTGTCATAGCACACCTGTGGACTATCGCGAACTTAATTTAATTGTTATCGTTATCGAAAATTCCACAAATCAAGACATATTCAAACAGTATACGTTAAAACT